CCCAGGCCCGCAGGGTAGGGTGTGGAAGGGTGCGCGGCCGGCCGCGGGTGTTCCCCTCTCCTGAGGGCTTAGCCAGGGGGCCGCCCCGCGCAGCCACTTCACACAGGGCCCGGGGGGGGCCGTTCCCGCTAGGTCTTGGCGAAGGCTTCTGGTGGGCCAGCGGGGGCCTTCCCGGGCTGTCCGAGGGTCGCCTGGGGCCGCTGGGAGGCCTGGATGTAGCAGCGTGGCCTTAGGAAGAGGAGCGGTCCTGTGGTGCCGGTGCCAGGGGACAGCCCTGGGTATGCCCGGCTTCCCGGTGAGCTGAGGGCCTTGGTGCGGATACTGCCCTTCGGGGTCGGGGGGCAGTTATTCGGGGCTGTCAAACTGCAGTTGCATAGACTCAGTCTGGGGCTCTGAGGCCTTGTGGAATCCCTTCTGTTAGAGTCGGGATGCTGAGCAGGTTATGTTAATGCAATTCAGGACAAACTCCTTTAAAGAAAGCCTTGTTTTTAAGGTAAATGCATGATGACCTGGGAATTATTCAGAGAGAGATTAGATTTATTACTATGACACTTTAAGGATTTGCTTCTGATCACTGCTGCTTGTGTTTTGCAGATGCTGGTGGTGCAGCAGATAAGATTAATTTAATACCTCAAGACTTTTTTGCAGAACTTGTAAGTAGGGCAATAAATGGGATGTGGAAGGGTTTCTGGCACTCTTTGATTCTAGGAAACCTTTTTGTTCAAGCTCTTTGGTTTTTGTCTGTTGCAAGGGGAATCTTATATATGTGGTAGCTTAGATTTACATGACTGATAAAATGGATCAATCTTGCTAAGAGCAATGGGATTGCTTTAAATTTCTGTTTTTATAACAGAAGATTTTTAAAAGCTTTTTTTTTTTGCCTTTCATCTAAATGAGACATCAAGCTAGCTTGTCTAGAAAACATTCAGCTTGTTTGCTTAGTGTGAACTAAAACAGGATGACTGTTCAGTTAGTATGAAAATGATGTGTTAAATAGGAATAGCTAGTGAGGTAGTAACTACAAGTCTTGAGTGAGTTTATTTGCTTTTCTTGGATTTTATGTAATTTTAAAAACCATCATTTCAATGACTTTATTTTTCAATCTGTATTTAAAGCATCTTCCTGTTGTCCATTTCTGCATTAACTATTTTTTTGTTTTGTAATCTCCAACTACTCAAATTAGCTTTGTCTTGCATAGTAAAATACACATTAAGAATGTCTTCAAATTTACTTTCTTCACAGTGTGAACAAATAATTCAACATCTGAACCATAAGATCCCAGGTGTAGATACAGCTGAACTATGTCAGGTAGGTTTGGATACTAGCAGTTAAAAGCAAGTATATTAGCTGTATATGCTGTACAGGATGGATTCCCCAAGTCAATTTTTTTGAATGTGTATATATACAAAGAGGTTTTTACTGATGCATAATTTATTATTATTTGTAACTGTTTGAACATTCTGTTTCCAGAGAATTCAAACATCTGGGATTGAGATTAATGTTGGTGACCTGGCAAAAATAGCTGATGTTGTTTCCTTTCTATTTAGGTAAGCCCAAAATAATTTACTTTACCTCATGCCTTTTTTTCCCTCTACCCCAACTTAATAGTGGTATTAAAAAGTGACATCAAATGTGGGTATAAAATGAGCTGATGTGGGAAAAGGGCGAAAGTTTTTAACTCTTAGTACACAAAAAAGAACTTTTGGGTTTAGTTCATGTTTTTAAATGTGTTTTGTTACCTCATATATAGACTTACTTCTTGTAATTAAAAAAAATGAGAAGAGGAAATTGTTCTAAGATTCTGTCTGCAAGCTTTAGAACTACTGGAAAAATAAAAGAGGAAGCTAAGTCAGCTAGACTGTTGTCTGAAAAAAGCATGTTCTAAAAATCTTCTTGTTTCTTAGAGATTAGAAACAGGCATTTGTGCCTGTTTGAAGGGCACAGTTTCATAATGTTGAAGTCTGCTGTGGTAAAGGCAGAGTTTTTAGGTAGTATGTTCAGCTGTTGTTTTGCTGTAAGTTTTTCTATTTTCAGAAAGATAAAATTTTCAAGATCTTGCTTGTTCTCTTAATATCTGGTATTTAAACAATTTATGTAACATTAATATGACTAAAGAAAACATACCAGTAGAAATTTAACATTCTACTCTTTCATCTATAAAATACAAAGCCTTAAATTATATTAGACCATGCTACTTGGAGGACCAATTCTTTTTCTCTTTTATTAATGGCTCTTTAAGAGGAGTGGATCTGCATGAACAAACCTAGGGTGGGAATTTTTTTTTACCTATTTCTGTAGAGGAAATGGAGTGGCAATTTTCCTCTAGACTTGCTGCCTTTTCATTTGAGGGTTTATTGCATCATTTGACTCCTGTTAGTACCAATTATAACATTACCTAGAGGTCCTTACTTGCCTTTTGGTGATGCTTAAATTACCTCTCCTAAATGTTTAATTGAACAACTGCCTTGTTTCTAAAGTAATAATATTAACTGCTCTATGCACACATATTTCACTGAATTAAGCCTTTTTTCAGTTGCAACAGCACTTGGAGGCTGTGATTATTTTTGTTTTAATTTAATTGTTGTGCAAAGCTTGGTCTCTGCCTATTAAGACACATTAAAAGTCAAGTCATGTTGGTTTTTGCATGTGGATACAAAAGATCAGTAAAATATTCTGGAAAAAAAATCACAGGCTGCCTGGTTATTGTAAAGTATATAGACACATAAAGCAGAAATAAAAAATTGCCTATTTGGGGTGAAGTAAGAAATTTTATTAAATTCATGGAGAATGAAATTTATGTGGTGTTCTTTGGATATACCTATAGCACAGCAGCCAGAAACAGTCTCTCTACGGAAGAACTCGTCACCACCTTGGGCAATGCAGTCACTGCACTGCCAAAGCATGCAGTTCAAGTTATTCGTCATGTATGGAATGAGCATGGTAAATCCATTAGTGTGTCAGAAGATGCAAGAAATATGGCCACACTGGGGCAGGTAACTAAATGAGAAGGTGCAGTTGAGCTAACTATTAACTCTTGAGAAATGTCAGTGCTTCACTGTGTATGTTGTATTGTCAAGCGCATGGTGGTTTCTTGACTGCTGAAAGCTTTCCTACACACATATATATGTTGCCAAATGTCCAACCAGATAAAGAAGCATATACAATAAAGGTTGTCTAAATGCTGAACAGTTTTCTAATATTATTGTTTGGATGATAAAGTCACATTTTATACCTTCAAAAAATTTAGTGCTGCATAGTACTATTAGGGAAGGTGAGTGGCAGTCAGCATGGCAGATAATTGTATTAGCTGTTTATGTAAATCTGTTTTAAATGTAATTTGAATTTGTTCTATAGAGTTGATAACACCAGCAATTGATTGTTTTATTCTTCGTCTCCCTTATCCTTAAAAAAAAGTTCAAACTTTCTGTCAATTTTCATCATTTGTTTTTTTGGTTTTTGAAAAAATAACACAGAGCATATTTGCATTTTAAGTTTGTTTTTTTTTCTAACAGTTTAAAAGAATATAGAATTAGAAAAAAACATCTTTGAGGCTGGATAGTAAGCTTCTACAGGCTCTCTTCACTTTATTCAACAGTTCTGTCTATCATAAAAGGTTAAAAATAACTTACCTGTCTGAAATGTATTTATGATATACTCTGATTTATCTGTAATACAGTTATGAAATGCCTTAATTTTATTGCCATTATTGCTATTATAAAATTTTTGTGCAGTCTGAGGTTTTTCTCATGTTTCCACTTGATTTAGAAACTTCTAAAAAAGAAAAGAAAACAAACAAACAAAACCCACATAACAAAAGCATGAATGATATACCAGCCAGGTGAACTCTGTGACTCAGGCCCCTCTTACTAGAGCTTTAAATAGACTGTACTAGACTATTTGCAGTACTTGAATAAGGAAAACAGATTAAGTGAAGTAACTTACTAAATTGCTTATTTTTTCACTATTAAAAGGTGATTTTGTATTCACAGTAACATCTGAATGCATATGTTTGTTTTCCATTTGGAGCTCTAGATGTCTTACGTTGTCTGTAAAACATCCATCAAAGAGAATAGCAGTGGTATTCTAGATCTTTCTTTAACACCGTTTCCAATTATTTTCTTCTTTGTAGTTTGTAGATATTAAATGGAAACTGGGAGTTGCGATGAGCTCTGACACCTGCAGATCTCTGAAGTATCCTTATGTTACAGTGATGTTAAAAGTGGCAGATCCTTCAGGACAAATAACAGACAAATCTTTTGAAATGACGATCCCACAGTTCAAGGTCTGTAATCCATGTTACTTGATTCAGTCTCTTTAAAAACAACAGTGACATTGTTGTGAAGGAGCAACTGTATACCTTGATGCATACGTTTGTGTTGCTTATTTACTAATAGAGTCATTCAGAGATGAAGCATTAAATAAGTATTTAGTGTCAGTGTTTTAAATCATTATTTCATAGCATTTAGTTCTATATCACTCATCTGAAATTGTTAATTTAGCAGTAATTAATCTGTTCTCTTACAAATAAGCTAACAACTGAAGACGTAAAGACTTCTGGATCTTTCTTATCAACTGTCACTCTGCCTTATTACTAATGGATAGAATATTCTAAATCTATGGAATGGGTCCCCAGCCTCAAAATGTGAAACTTGGGTTAAGCCTCACATTTCCTAATGATTAGTAATGGAGGTCAGTCTGCTTTGTCACCACTGGCTCTTAGATGCTATGCCTTAATCAATGAACTTACATAACTTTGTTTAATTTTGCATAAATGTGGCACTTGCGTTGGCTTTCCTATTTAAAGTGGGAATACAACACTTAGAGTATCATACAAGCTTACAAATAAATCCTTGGAGTTGGACTAGCAGGAATTTGAGAAGAATATTCGGAATCCTTAGGTGTTGTGAAATGTTGTATTAATTCTAACTGAAATCTATTTAATAATTTGCTGTTCAACTACTGTAAGAAATGGATGCTATACTTGAGAAGCCTGGATTGTTTCAGTTGGGAATAGAAACATTTGTGTGAGAAGGTTTTTGGGGGGTTTTTGTGAGAGCTACTTTGTATTTTTCTTTCAGAGCATCTTCTATTAATAGGCAAACCCATGCAAATAAGGCATCACCTCTGTAGATTTAATAGTGAATATGCCCAAATGCCAACCAGTCCACAGAAGGAAAAGCAGAAACTTTCAGTTCTGGAGGAAGGAGGGAATGTGAGAAACATGGGTTGTGATTTTTGTCTAATGTGCTAGTCTGAACTACAGTTCGAGCTTTTCTTCAAGCAACTGAAATTTATCTTAACTCTTGCTTTTTAGAACTTCTTCAGACAGTTCAAGGAAATGGCGGCTGTTCTTGAAACAGTTTGAAGAGAACTCTTTTATTTACAGTGAAATTTTGGACAGACTTATATCAAGTAAATTTCCCAGTTCTACACAGGGAATAAAATGCCATTTTTCAGCAAGGTATGTATCCTTGTCTTTTTGACAGGTATTTGTCATCATCATCCTTGCATTGCTGTGAAGATTTCTTTGCTTTTGAATACTTGAAGCCAACTCTGCAGTGCTTGTGAAAATGTATTCAGCTTTGTTCATCCTGGTAGACAAAAGATCAGGATGTGTATGGAGAAGCATCACTGTAGACTTTCTAATATCCAAGAGTGAGAAACTACGTGTAAGAAACTACACATTTAACTCTGGGATGCAGAAAGACACCTGAAAATGTTGGCTGGGAAGATACCAAGGGAAGTGTAAATCCCACGTTAACACTTTTGTCTGTAAAATTGAGATGCGCTTGGACTTAACAATACTACTAAGTATAAGGAGTACGTGAAGTTACACATAACAAGTACACAGTTATTCTTGAAGAATAGCAATGCCAAGTAATTAGTTGCAGGTATTTGCAGACCTGGCTTCCAGTCTTTTAATAACTGGACAATGTACTTGTCCTAACAGCTTGTTTATTTCAAATAGTTACTTCCCACCACCTAGGCTTATAAAATCTGAGTTAACGCATTAAGCTTTTCTGGCGACCCAAAATTTATTCTCTGAAATGAAGCCCAGAGGCTAATTTTAAATAAAGCATTTAATTTAAAAGCATTCTAATATATTTTTGCCTTTGCATTTAATCCAAGTCTAATCTGTGGCACTCTGATGTTTTGATCAGCAGTCTGCTTTCTAATTGAATTAGAATATTGGTTAGTTGCCTGTCTCCAAGCTCTGAACTAGACAAGTCAAGAGGAAACTTGAAAATTCAGGCTGGAGTGTTAGCCAAGCACATCAGAGAAAGAACCACAATAAAAGTACAAGCAGCAAAGAAATCTTGCTGATTGTGTGGTAGGAGTCCACTGGACTGTGTTGCGCACGCTCGCTCCTGGAGAATGTCCTAACCAGCAAAATTTTGACTTTGATTCTGAAGAAAATGGTGGTGGGGGGTGGCATTTCCAAATGAGGAGTGGTAAATCCAGTGTGCTTGCCTTGCTCTCTTCTTGGTTTTGTTTTAGTTTTTTTCTTGTTTTCCATAACCAAAACACAAACTGCAAATATAGTGGGATGTAATAAAAATACTGTTGCATTTCAAGATCTGCTGGTGGTAAATCTGAAGAGAAATTCATACTGATAAGCAGACTGAAGTTTATGCTGCGACTTCAGAATGGTAGAGACTGAGAACCAGTTTTACTGGGGCAGAACCTCAAGTGATTTTTAGGCCCTCGTAAGTGAGAAAAATCTACCTTTCTAATACACTTACATTTTTTAATTAACTTTTTTAGAAGCTGGCTGAAAGTCATTGATACAGGTTGTGCTTGCCTTTTTGTGTCATGAAAATAAGCTGCAGCACACTGCACGTGCTGCATACTGCAATCCTTTCAATAGAGATACACCCCCAGTATTTGGGCATTATGCATGGTGCATAAGAACAGTACTTGGAGTTGCTTAGAAGCCCAAATAAGTGAAACAGCATTGGCTTTAACAAAAGATAGTAAAAGTTTTGGGCCGTGGCCATTGATCTGGATCTTTGTGCTGCTGAAGTCCGAGGTGTTTGCTTTGTGGCTGGGGAGAGCAGTTTGCTCTTTTCTGGGACCCTCTCAATGGAATGTCACAAAATGATCTCGGGACCAGACTCCCTGTTTGCTTTTTCCCTTGTCTGTCTGCAAGGGCTTGGGGCTGAACATAGTGCAAAAAACCCCGCAAACCTCTCTGTGTGTGGAAAAGTGATAGGAGCAGCTGACTTTATTATTCTTTTTTAAATTTGCAGAAGTTGGAGTGTAAGGGCTGCTATAACTGGAAAACATTATCATGCTTTGGCCTAGTGAATTAATTGGTTTACATCAAAGCAAGAGTTCCAGGAAAGGAATACTTTTTTAGTAAAGCTGGAGCCTTACAAATACTTCCCATTTATTCTAATGCACTTAAGTTCTTCATATAGCTGGAAATAGTTGTGCTTTCTTTGGAACTGGATGGAAAAGAAAATGTAATCGTGTCTTAAATTCTAGAAACAGTAATTTAGTAGATGCTAGAAGGTAATGAAAACTTTCAGTTGCCATTTTTGCTTGGTCCATCACGAAGAGGAGAAAAACATAACTTATGTTTTGTCAAGTCAAATATTCTAGAAATATTCATATTTTTTAAATGTCCTTGAACTCCAGCATGTTATAATTCTGGCTGGAAGATGCCTGGACATGTGTGCTGTACCAGTTTACTGTCTGAGAATTTTCAGAGGTGTTCATGGACATCTAGGAGATGTGATTAAAAGTTGGCTATGTACTCAAACTTCTGAGATTTGTCCTGATCACTATCAGTATGAATTCCTATACTGAGTAATGGAAGAATCAAGTACTTCATTTAAAAAAACCCAACAAACTGAAAACCTATGCAGGGTAGCAATGTTAACATGTTCAAACAAGCTGTTGAATTGTTTGTCTTTATGTGCAGAAACCAGATCTTTTCAAAAAGAATCAGGAGTCCTTGTGGGTTCCTAATTCTACTTGTTGATTGATATGAAATTGTATAACATGAATATTTTTGTAAGCCCACAGTCATTAAACATATAGGTAACAAAGATGAAGATGGTTTGTATTTTGTTTTAAGTCTACCACATGAAAGTCTTTCATAAGTACTTTAATGGGTAAAGTTCAGGACTAGACTATGACTAAACTTCTTTCCTTATTAAATTAGGATGGGGTTCAGACTTTCTCTGTGGTGGGGTACCAAGCAGCTGAGGGATAACTGCAGTCTGCAAGGAATCTTTGTATTAATTACTTACAGCTAGACAAAATGTTGTATTGAACCAGGAGAAGACAGAGGACAATAGAGATGAGTGAAATTTTGCAACAAATTGCACTCAAGTGGTTTTCTTTCCTTAACTGTATCTAGGAGACAAGTAAACAATTTTTCTTGTCAACATTTGCCTGGACAGAGCAAGGGGAAGGAATGGGAGGGGGGGAAAGGGTCTTACAAGGTAAGCAATCCCAAGGGAGGGAATAATGAAGGAGTCTCCTGGCAATGACTGTCTGTGAGCTTCATCACATTACTTTTTTTTTTTTGTATTAGTTTCAAACACACCAGCCCACTAGCAGAAAGCTATTTTGTAGAAAAATGGAGAAAGGCCCACAGAAGCAGTGCACAAATGGCTCTAGTCATGTCTGTGCAGTCGTGTTACCTATCTAGCTTCTGCGCAGTCTGGCCTAGTCGTGGCCAATGTAAAAGCATGTCTCTGCTCCTGCTTCCACAAAATTGTACTGTGTTTCTTTAACCATGTTTTAAAGGTATATAACCTTGTTGCTCACTGTGAGCCTATTGCCCTTTAATTTTTACCTTCCCATTTTCAAGCCTTTGCTCTCTCTTTGAACACCTGAAGATACATTAGCTTGGACTAATTAAAAAACAAAGGTAGGTAGATGATAAATTTGGGGGAGAGGAAGAATGTTGTTTCTTCTTCCTGCTTACCTTCTTACCTATCGTATTTGAATGTTTTATTACCCTCTTAATTGTGGGTATAATGAGAGGGTAATTTCCAGTCCTTTGCAGAGGCATGCAGGGCTCTTCTGTTTAGCCCTCAGCACAAAAGTGCCTGAGTCATTTAATCTACCTGCAGCAAAAAAACCCTGCTCCATTTCTGAAGAATCTTTGCAACAAGAGGAGGAACTTAAAATTCAGCAGCCTCTATCTTCTCCAGTACCCTGCGGTTGATGATCAGAGTGCTTGTTTCCCAGACAGATGTTTAGTAAAATGTAATATGACTGTTGTTTGGACTGGTAGCTTACTGGGCATTCACTCGATGAGGAAGTTGGATCTGTGCAGATCAGTACGTGACATGAGTGCCTTGACCTGAGTCGAGTTTGCATGGTATGCTGCTGCAGTCCTCCCTTCCTGAGGCTCGGTCACATCACAGCAAGTGGATGTGCTTGTCACTGTGCAATTTTGGCCAAATGTTTCCTTTACTTTTGCTTCTACGTGTTGTCTATACGTACTCATCTAGTTCCACTTCCAGTCCTGGATGCTTTGAAAGACTTCCCGACTCATTTTCGAGGCTTTTCTGAGGGAAGGTGGAGAAATGACCCACCATTTGCACAGAGTTACTGGGATATGTCTGTTAATTATTTATGACTTTGTGTCATTGAGAAAGTAAGGAAGCTGAGATTGATCTTCTCTGTGAAGGCTAATGTTAGTGTTTCTGGGTTTCCCCCTCCCTATGCTGCATTCTCCTCCTCTGGCTAATTACGGTCTAGCTTGAGAACCATTTCTGTTCTAAATATGTAGGTGCCATAGTTTCCACACACACTGTTAGTATTTACATTACAAATATTGTGATATTTATAAATTCAAAATTTCAGCATTTGTTTTGTACTCCACATATCGGGCTTTGGAACAGTAAGCTTTAATATGCATATTAAAAAAGGAAAATTCTATTATTTCATACAATAAATTTCTGTGCTGTATAGTATTTTAAGAGGAATTTGTCATAGCATTGGTCACCAGGTGGCACTGCTACATATTGTCTTGGTACATGGTAATCCTCTGAGAGCATGTCTGATGATGGAATAAGGACTTCTGGGTTTCTCCCCTGTGCAGTTTAAATCTGGAACTGCACACCGTCATGTCGCCATAACTTCCATCCTACTTATTACATTGTAGGAAAATACTCTAACTTCTCTGGTAATTATTGAAAAGATGAGTGTAAAGATTTCCAGTGACATAACATTCAGCATTGTAATGATAACAGAATATATATACCCTGCATTGTGTATTTGCAGTAACTTAAACCAGTAACTATACTAACACTTTTGCATTATGACTTGCTCTTTAAATAGTATCATGTTACATTTCTACTGATGCCTATTCTCATTTTACATTTTTTTCCCTGTTTATAC